ATATCTGGTTTAAAAGTATCAACACACGATTATATATGCTAATCTACGTTTGTAAGCCATATAGGCAAGTGTAAACAACTGTCGTTTGGGGGTATATTTTAAGATTGCACTGTTCTTCATAGTGATGACTCCCCTGATGAAGTATTCACGATCATAAAGTCGATCGTTTCTTTTTTGATTTGCCAGCGATTTTTTTTTTTTTTTTAATATACATAACAGTTTAGTGATCAATTGACAAAAGGCTACGAGGAAGCTCCTTGGCTTTATGGTCGGTTGATTTTCCCTTGTGTTTTCAACAGCATTATACAAACACTAAAAGTGTGCAACATAAATATCACTAAATAGTGCTAATGAGATTGTTATCTCTTTTTTAATGACTGCTATTTACTGCTAAATAGTGATAACTATTGCACACATTTAGTGTTTGTACTCTATTATTAGAGGAATTAAATAAACGATTTTTTCAGTTTACTCGTATGTGATAAACTWACCATCATCAATCATCCTTAGGCTTTGTTTACGAACGTGTAAGGGGTCTTACAAGATAAAACCTAATATTATTGGATGGAAATAAACGTTTCTTTTCTGGCCCACTGATTCCAATTCCATAACTTCTGGTCTTGACTGTCAACCAGTAGAAGATTGGAATCATAGTATAGTCGATCTGTTTATTTGAACGTGATAAAGGCCTAGTGTTATTTCCTTGTTAGTTTTTGGTAAARCACCTCTCAGGCAAATGACTATATTGTACCATTTGGTATATATAAACTTTTTACTTCTAAGGATTTACAAGCAAGGCAGTTACTCCAAGAGGCTTTATTTACAGCTATTTTAAAAAGAACTGAACATTTTGAACCGTATATTTTTTGAAAACTGAGTGGAAAGAATGCATCAGTTTTGATTTGCTGGACTGCTGTGTTGACCTGTACGGCCGATTGAGCAAGAAAAACTGAACTAATTGACATCTCAACTGCAAGACTTCTCGACTTCGCTGCAGTGAGCTGGCTGGAGGAAGAGCGAGTGTTGTAGTCTAGTGAGCCAAAATTGAGCTCAAACAAATTACGCTATGAACCTTTTATGGCGAAAGGAAATCAATCGTTATATTTTGCCTTTAAGGTGGAACCAAACTAATTCAGAGCGAATTTTGGACAATTGTGTTCTCGCTTGCTTCGCAAAACTATTGCGTCAATTTAATTGTATTTTTCATATAATGTGCTTGGATTATCCTAGATTCTAACGGTGTATTTTATTTTAAAATTTTTTAAATGTTTAGCCTATTACGGCCGAAAATCAAACAGTGCTATTTTTAGTTTTTGGCTTTTTTCTCCTCATCCCCAGGTACGATTTTTCTGTAATTTTCAGAATCGTATCATCTAGTACTATTGCAGCCTGTGTATAAATTTGGATGGAAAGTCTTGGGCAGAAAAAACGTTATGACGCTGCTTGAAAATTCGATCCAAAATTTGAAAGCAGCAGTAAGGGGGACTCGCGATCACCATTCGGAATCGCCCGGGAATTACCCGTGTTTATGCACTAGCGTCCCCCGCGGGAATTACCCGTGTTCTGTTATATGTTGCTGCTATGTTAAGATATTTGTCTTATAT